CATGTGCTCCGCAGCGAAGAGGACGGCGCAGTGGCAGGATGGGCTCACAATTGTGCACACCACCGCCATGGGTGCGTCAGCAATACGCAATCACACACACACACACACACACAGAGAGAGAGAGCGAGGAGGCATGTTACTTGTCCACGATGCTCATCACACAGCCGTCACTGCACACAACGTCAGCAGAAGCAGCGGTGCATGCACCCACACAGGACTGACGCTGCTGTCCGCATTCTTNAGAGAGAGAGCGAGGAGGCATGTTACTTGTCCACGATGCTCATCACACAGCCGTCACTGCACACAACGTCAGCAGAAGCAGCGGTGCATGCACCCACACAGGACTGACGCTGCTGTCCGCATTCTTCGTGTCCTTAACGTTCTCGTCGGCAGGGGCATTGGGGGTAGGCTTGCTGCCTGTGGCCTCACTGGCACCAGCACTCACTGAAGCAGATTCCGATGAGCCCTGCGTTCCTGCTCCTTCCTCATCCTTTGCACCAGCCCCGGCTGCGTCACTAGGCGCATTATTCTTTTTAACCGTAACAGTGGCACCATCGGAACCGCTTTTGCCGATGTTGTTGAGAACAGTATCATCTCCCTTCTCGTCTGTGTGGTCCGCAGTTGGCAGATGACTGCTTGGCGATGAAGTAGTGGCATTGGGTGAGGCAGTAGTGACTTCTCTACCTTCACTGGTGCCTCGGTCTTGATGATCATCGGATGGAGAGTGAGGTCCCTGTTGCCCTGCAGCTGCTGTGTCTTGCGTTCGACGTATTAATTGTTTTTCCACCGGCGGGTTTATTCTACCTCTTTGATGTTCCAGCAGATCTCCATTTTTCGTATCTTCTCTCAGTGGACTCGTGTCGAGCGTTCCAGTCTCCGAGAGGGCGCCGTGAGATGTACCACCCGTAGGGCTCTGTCCATCCTGCCCGGCACCCCCAACTGCTGTTAGTCCAGTGTCCAGTTTTTGCCCACACGCCCCCGAAACACCACCACCGCCTGCAGCAGCTAGACAGTTGGTATTAGGATCACTGGTTTGCAGGTTGCCCACAGTCGCAGTCTTCTGCCCCACCGCAGCAGAAATCATGCAGGTCTTGCCTTCTTTTGTACAGAGGGCCTCTGGGTTACTCTTATCAATGTTTTCGCACGTCACAACCACTTTATGCGTACAAAGGGGAGTTGAAGAAGCTATCGTGCATTTACCAGATTCACGAGCGCCATCACAATCCTCCAAATCCGCACCCTTTGTAGTCAAAAGGGGAGCAGAGCAAACTCCTTTAGAAGACTTCACTTGACCAGGCTGGCACACCCCATCAAGGCCATCCCTATCCAAAACTTTCGGTTCCGACACATCCTCTTCAGCATGCGTACCATGATCATCAGTAGTTCCTTCATCAACCGCCGCACACCCGCAGGCGCACCACGCACACAGCGCACACACCAGCAGCACAGAGCGCATCGTCATCATCGTATTCTTGATCTGCGCAATGAGTGGGGGCAGGCAGAAGAGGTCAGTGCGCTGTGCACAGCAGAGGCTCCAGTCCGCCACTCAGGCACCATCACCACCCGCAGACGGACACCCACACAAAACAAACACAACAATACGCGAAGCCGAAGCGTGGCAGGGCTGTGGTGTGCTGTGCCCACAGGAGCACTCCCCAACAGCAAAGCAGCAAGAAGAAAACCAGATGTATCAACCCCCCGAATGTGTGTCCCTGCCCCACACCCAACACACAGCTGCAGGCATCACACAACAAGCCCATCAAGCACCGCAGCACCATTCACACACACACACACACACAGGTGAGTGGGCGGCGAGGGAAACACACCGAAGGGAATTAAAGAGCCGCAGCACATCCATACTGACGAATTTTGTTGACGAAGAAAGTTGTTAAGAAATGCGCGCACAAAGCGAATGCACCCAGACATCCTGCTGCCGCAGTACATACACACACACTCAATAAAAGAGCTATCGCACTCCACGAGCACATGGCAAGCAAAAACAATTAAAAAAGCAATTACAATTAAAGCACCCTCCACCCCACGCACCCCACACCACGAGGATGCCACACACACACAAAGCAAAGTACCAACCACACAAAGAGGCAGCATCTGAGCCCCAAGCAATCATTACGAAGAGAAGGGGTATAGGTACACCCGCCATGAGCTCGCAGTGCACACAGAGAAAGAGAGCGAGGAGGCATGTTGCTTGTCCACGATGCTCATGACACAGCCGTCACTGCAAACAACGCCACCAGAAGCAGCGGTGGATGCACCCACACAGGACTAACGCTGCTGTCCACATTCTTCGTGTCCTTCACGTTCTCAACCGCTGGAGCAGTGGCGGCAGTGTTGCTGTGGGTGACCTCAGTGACAACAGTACTCGTGGAAACATCTTGTTGATTATTGTTGGCTTCCGTGGCAGTCTTAAAATCACCTGCAGAGAAGCCGTTGTCAGTGTGTTCACCACCAGAAACAGTATTAAAAATGGTTGTTGGTTTGGAATCATCTTTCGTCTTCTCGTCCTTTTTCCCCGCAGTTCTGTGAGGGCTGCTGGCTTCTGAAGTCATTGCATCGACATCACCAGTATCGGCTTGACTCCCTTGTCTATGGCTTCCTTCTGGACGACCACTGGCCGGGGTTTTGTCGACGTGCTCTCCCGTTTTTACTGGGGTAAGCAATTTCTGTTTGCTTTCGGGTACTTCTGCCTTTTCTTTCTTGACACCGCGGCCATCTCTCTCATCTTCTTTTTCCTTCACCTGCTTCTCAGAGTCGTCTTTCTGTTTGGCCTGCAGACCTAACTGCGGGTTTGACTGGCCGTCGCCTTCCCCTGCAGCGTTGTGCTGTGTTTCATGCCGCAAACCGGTGTTTCCTTGCTCACCATCATTGTCTTTCTCTCCACCAGGCTCCTCCTCCAGACGTTCTTCCCGTTCTTGTTTCCCTGCACGCACGCAGGTTGGGGTAGCTGCAGCACCAACGTCAGTCTCTCTGCATTCAACAGAAGCAGGAATTTGTTGTCGATCGGGTATACCTCTCTCAAGCCCCGTGTCAGCAGCATCCCTACAACTCCCCTCAGTTTCTGTGCAAAGCGCAACTGAATCACGGCTTTCAGGATTTTTGCATCCGGGAGGGTTTTTCTCTTTACAAGGAGAAGGAACAGCAGCCACCTTGCACTTGGGCGTGTCGGGTTGATTTGTGCAATCATCACGAACCAAAGCATTTTCTCTCTGATCCGCAACAGGGCAGACCGCCCCGCTGTTGTCCACCGCACCGGGAGAACACACCTTCAAAGGATCCTGCGGATTATCAGATCCGGATTTTGCGGAACTCTCTTTTAGATCCCCGTCAGGTAAACCACCCACTAGATCGTCACCTTCTGCCGCGCACCCGCAGGCGCACCACGCACACAGCGCACACACAAGCAGCACACAGCGCATCGTCATCACCGTATTCTTGATCTGCGCAATGAGTGGGGGCAGGCAGAAGAGGTCAGTGCGCTGTGCACAGCAGAGGCTCCAGTCCGCCACTCAGGCACCATCACCACC